TTATACAAAAACGGGGTTTGTCAGTGGAACAATTTTCAATTGTGGTTAGTTAACCATCTCATACCACACATTGCAAGGACAAGAAAACTGTTGAATTTTGAAAACGAAACAGCGGTCGTAGCAATGGACAATTTCACAGGTCAAATTAGTAGTGAAATGACCCAGTTTGCAAGTCACCACAATGTCATTTTTCATTACTTCGTACCTCATTCGAGCCATCTTGTCCAACCACTAGATTTGTGCTTTTTGGTGTTACCAAGCAAGCCATGAATACAAGAGGTTCAACAACAATTGAGGAAAGGTCACTTCCTTCAATCCCGACTTGCATGGTTGAACAAGAGGATGAGTTCCAGAAAGGTTTAAGTGATTGGATCCGAGAATTGAGCGATAAAGACGGAAGACTCCACAATTCGTTGAGAACGTCTGATACATTAAGAGAACCAACTGGTATGCCAATAACATATCACAAAGAAAGTGTTGGAAGTAATGGAATCAAAGGCGACGAAAAAGATAATAGTAGCTTCGTTCAAAAGGTCCGGTGTTGTTGGTGTTAATTTGGGTCGAGTGAAGTGAATGATTGTTTCGTTAAAGGAGGCAAGTCGTTTACTCCAGGAAGCCGGTAATGTTTTTACTTCAGAAATGATTGAGTACTTCACTGTACCAGAAGTTGATCGCTTCTTGGTCACAATCCAAATGGAAACTTTGCCTTGGGTTGTCCCAATACAGGTGATACAAGCTGAAACGGATGTTATTCCAGCACAACGATCACAACATATAACAGCTGATCCCAGCATGAATTCAATTACTGATAATGAAAATGTACCTTTCGACTCAAAGAGAACAAACCCACGTTCATTTGAATTCGATTTCAAGTTCCGAATTTTTGCTCAGAATGAATAACTACATTTATGGTATTTAACTATTTAAAATACTATCAGTTTTTGTTTATTTTTAGTTTTTTCAGTTTAATGAAAAGTAAAACAATGGTTTAAATATTATAACATAAATACTATCAGGTCACTCATTCATGTCAGGTGGCTCATTCTCTGTACTGTAGTCTTTGTCAAGTAATTTCTAATTATAAAAATAGAATGAGTGGTAATTCCCGAAAAAAAACTAAAACAACTAACCAAAAATCGTTAATTGGGCATTTTGGTCAATCATCGTGCTGTCAATCAATTTATTCTTTGTCAAGTTATTATTTTGCCTCCTGTATAATCAAAATACAAATGTTGTTCCAATTAATAAATGTGATATTATTTGTCTACTAAAATTTTTGTTGTTTTGCATAAAATGATTATAATAAAATTATAATCATTTTATTTTAGTTTAATATATTCTTTTTATAGCATTTAATTTGAATAAATAAAATACCTTGAGTTTGATGGTTATTCAAATTATATTTTATCGTTTTATAAATAGTTCATTAATTATTTTATCTAATTCAAAATTAATTTTTCATAATTTTACTATTTTTTGTAGTTGTTATTAGTTTCTTTAATAATGAATTATTTTTTTATTATTTTTTAAAAAATGTACTATTTTGAATAATATAAATATAATTTGATTATAAATACGCTAAATTAACCTTACTTAGTGAAAACTGGATAAATTTTATCCTTGATTTTTTTACTTAAAATAAGTCACTTTATTATTTTTGTGTTTAAACTAAAAATATCTTTAATTAAGAACGGCGTGTTACAAACCAATTTAAATAATGAAAAAATGATAAAAATCGAAGCGCTCTCATGAAAAATTTTGTGTGTGTCTCGTAACAACAAGTATTGACAACTTTGAACACATGGAAAATAGGAAAAATGGGTCTTTAAAACCATTAGTTTGCGCGAAAACTAATCGATTTCGTGTTTTGAATTTGTTTTTAATAATTCTAAAAATAAAATTTATCTGGATTTCACCTTCCCACAAAAAGTTGATTCAGTTGACTTGCTTTGGTTAATTTTTGAAAATTTTTTATTTTCTATAAGTCTTTTTTTATTTTATAAATGTTTTACCCGTCACTATATGACACCAGATAGTAATCATTGGTAAACCTTTTTTATTGAAAATTTGTAAAATTGTGAAACATGTGATCAACTTTTTGGCAAAATTTTTTGTATAGTTTTTTGTCTAATCATTTTTCGAGTTTATTTTTCAATTTATTTTTCAGCAAAGTCAAATTTGAAAATAAAATAAAAATGTGTTTTATTTTTTTGAATATTTTTTTCAGTTTTTTGACCAAAAATTAAAAACTGAAAAAATGGGAAAATGTAACTTAAAATTGTTGTATAATTTTCAAACCCTATTTATTTTGTAATAAACTGAAATTTTATACTTTCACTGCTTGTTCTGTATATAATTGGTTTTATATGTAATAATTAATAAAACTGTATTATTGTTGTTAATTGCTCCATTCTAACAATTAAAAATAAAAAAATTATGTATTTTTATTAATTAACTATCAAATTATAACCATTTTATTATAGTAATTTATAGTAAAAATATGATTATAAAATTGTTTCCTTGATTTTTGTTTATTGATTGTGCTTTATCATCAAATTATAATGGTTTTTTGCTTTTTTTATCCTAATTACCCGATATATAACTATTAAATAATCTGTTAATATCAATATAATTATTTTCATTTTTTGATTTATCAAATTATCAACTCGAGGCAAATTTAAACTATTGCTACAATTTACATAATTATATTATTGATTATTTTAACCAATTAGAGTATAAAAGAATATTATTTTCAAAATGTATTTTTGCCAGAACTATTAACCCGGCAATAAAAACACTTGTGAACATTTTAATTGGTATTCTAATGATAAATCTTTACCATTTTTTATGTTTGCATTTATTATTCAATTTATCCACCCGGCAAATAAAACCACTGGGAAAACATCTTCCATATTGTTTATTTGGTGTTTATTTCTACTAATATTCAATATGCTGAGTTTTAAAACTTTGTTTTCGTGTCTTTTTTCGGCATACACGTATAATTGCTACCATTTATTTGATATTTTGTTTTGATTTTTTACCAAAAAGTTTTGGAAAGCGTCAAACAAACAACATTTTTGTAAAAAGAATAGCGACAACTAAAACCACTTGGAAACATTTTACTTTAGACACAACATGAAAACTTGACACTATTACAATGTTTGCATGAAAAATTAGCAAATTTTAGAATAAATGTAAAAAATAATGGAGGCAAACCGAAATTCACAAAACCACTTGTGATAATTAATTCTCAAAATGATGAATATAATCAAAATTTTACATTATTTTAAAAATGACACACCAATTAAGTTTTTTCAAACACAAACAGCACACATTCATTGCACTGATGTTTGACAGTGAAATAATAAAATGATGGTTTGTGACACACATCAAAACAATGTGGAAACATATTTGAAAATATCAAATTGGGTTTTGGTCGACGAACGCACTTTTGAAACAAATGAGTATTGGTTAAGAGAAGGATGTAAT